CGTGGATATACTAATTTAGAATATGACCTTTAAAGACTCTAGTTTATGAAGTGTGGTAATAAGTTAAAAAATCAACTTCACTTGCAATCATCATTAATCATCATCAATCATCATCATTAATCATCATCATCACCAGTTACCGTCTTTAAGCAACCGATATTATTAACCTGATATTCATTAACCTACTCAACAGGTGTCCACATGCTCTATACCTTTAAGTTAACGAATAATATTCATGGAGTAACAAGATTCAGGCAACATCAATGGAAGACAAACATGAGTAAATTTATTCATGTCAAACGTACAGTACAGACACAGGTGATGGAGACAATGAGTTGGGTATACAGGTGTAGGACTCGGACCCAAAGTTGCCACAAAGTCCTCACAAGACCTGTACTAAACTCCTAACCTAACCTAACCACACATCAGTCCTTTGTAGCAATATGGATAGAATAACTTAAACTATGATTCATTTAATAACAGACAGACAGGCAGACATACAGAGGAAGACGTTCTATATTAAATGTCATCCACACACACACACACACACACACATATACACTAAGACAAGGTACTTTATGCCCAGGCCTTTGAATAGCCAAAATACATAAAAACAAGAACATCAACCACACCAACACGACAAAATGAGATTAATGTTGTCATTTGGAACATTTTAAAACAATAAGGAGCAATCGCCTTACGGGCGATTAACGGCGGCAGGGGGGCAATAAGAATGAGTGGCAGCAATCGCCTTACGGGCGATTAACGGCGGCAGGGAGGCCATAGGAATGAGTGGCGGCAATCGCCTTATGGGCGATTAACGGCGGCAGGGCGGCCATAAGAATGAGTGGCGGCAATCGCCTTACGGGCAATTAACGGCGGCAGGGAGGCCATAAGAATGAATGGCGGCAATCGCCTTACGGGCGATTAACGGCGGCAGGGAGGCCATAAAAATGAGTGGCGGCAATCGCCTTACGGGCGATTAACGGCGGCAGGGGGGCCATAAGAATGAGTGGCGGCAATCGCCTTACGGGCGATTAACGGCGGCAGGGGGGCCATAAGAATGAGTGGCGGTAATCGCCGTACGGGCGATTAACGGCGGCAGGGGGGCCATAAGAATGAGTGGCGGCAATCGCCTTACGGGCGATTAACGGCGGCAGGGAAGCCATAAGAATGAGTGGCGGCAATCGCCTTACGGGCGATAACCGGCGGCAGGGGGGCGATAAGAATGAGTGGCGGCAATCGCCTTACGGGCGATTAACGGCGGCAAGGGGGCCATAAGAATGAGTGGCGGTAACGTTTACGGGCGACACGCGGTGGGGGGCCATAAGAATGAGTGGCGGTAACGCCTTACGGCGATTAACGGCAGGGGGGCCATAAGAATGAGCGGCGGCAATGCCTTTACGGGAAGCATTAACGGCGGCAGGGGGCCAAGAATGAGTGGCTCGCTCACGGGCGAATAACGGCGGCAGGGGGCCATAAGAATGAGTATGCGTAACGCTTCACGGGCGATTAACGGCGGCAGGGGGGCCATAAGAATGAGTGGCGGCAATCGCCTTACGGGCGATTAACGGTGGCAGTGGGGCCATAAGAATGAGTGGCGCCAATCGCCTTACGGGCGATTAACGGCGGCAGGGAGGCGATAAGAATGAGTGGCGGCAATCGCCTTACGGGCGATTAATGGCGGCAGGGGGGCCATAAGAATGAGTGGCGGTAATCGCCTTATGGGCGGTTAACGGCGGCAGGGAGGCCATAAGAATGAGTGGCGGCAATCGCCTTACGGGCGATTAACGGCGGCAGGGGGGCCATAAGAATGAGTGGCGGCAATCGCCTTACGGGCGATTAACGGCGGCAGGGGCCGCAAGAATGAGTGGCGGCAACGCCCACGGGCGATTAACGGCAGCAGGAGGGGCCATAAGACGAGTGGCGTAACGCTTTACGGCGATTAACGGCGGCAGGGGGGCTATAAGAATGAGTGGCGCAATCGCTCTTTGGCGGGCGATTAACGGCGACAGGGGGCGATAAGAATGAGTGGCGGTAACGCCTTACGGGCGAATAACGGCGGCAGGGAGGCGCGATGGGTGAATGAGGCAACGCCGCGGCGATTAACGGCGGCAGGGGGGCTATAAGAATGAGTGGCAGCAATCGCCTTACGGGCGATTAACGGCGGCAGGGAGGCCATAAGAATGAGTGGTGGCAATCGCCTTACGGGCGAATAACGGCGGCAGGAGGGCCATAAGAATGAGTGGCGGCAATCGCCTTACGGGCGATTAACGGCGGCAGGGGGGCCATAAGAATGAGTGGCGGCAATCGTCTTACGGGCGATTAACGGCGGCAGGGGGACCATAAGAATGAGTGGCGGCAATCGCCTTACGGGCGATTAACAGCGGCAGGGAAGCGATAAGAATGAGTGGCGGCAATCGCCTTACGGGGGATTAACGGCGGCAGGGAGGCCATAAGAATGAGTGGCGGCAATCGCCTTACGGGCGATTAACGGCGGCAGGGAGGCCATAAGAATGAGTGGCGGCAATCGCCTTACGGGCGATTAACGGCGGCAGGGAGGCCATGAGAATTAGTGGCGGCAATCGCCTTACGGGCGATTAACGGCGGCAGGGGGGCCATAAGAATGAGTGGCGGCAATCGCCTTACGGGCGATTAACGGTGGCAGGGGGGCCATAAGAATGAGTGGCGCCAATCGCCTTACGGGCGATTAACGGCGGCAGGGAGGCGATAAGAATGAGTGGCGGCAATCGCCTTACGGGCGATTAATGGCGGCAGGGGGGCCATAAGAATGAGTGGCGGTAATCGCCTTATGGGCGATTAACGGCGCAGGGGGGCCATAAAATGAGTGGCGGCAATCGCCCACGGGCGATTAACGGCGGCAGGGGCCATAAGAATGAGTGGCGGCAATCGCCTTACGGGCGATTAACGGCGGTAGGGGGGCCATAAGAATGAGTGCCGGCAATCGCCTTACGGGCGATTAACGGCGGCAGGGGGGCGATAAGAATGAGCGGCGGCAATCGCCTTACAGGCGATTAACGGCGGCAGGGAGGCCATAAGAATGAGTGGCGGCAATCGCCTTACGGGCGATTAACGGCGGCAGGGGGACCATAAGAATGAGTGGCGGCAATCGCCTTACGGGCGATTAACGGCGGCAGGGGGCCATAAGAATGAGTGGCGGCAATCGCTTTACGGGCGACACAATCAACGGCAGGGGACCATAAGAATGAGTGGCGGCAATCGCCTTACGGATAATAACGGCGGCAGAAAATGGCAAGAATGAGTGGCGGCAACGCCTTACGGGCGATTTAACGGCGGCAGGAGGCCATAAGAATGAGTGGGCGTAACGCCTTACGGCCATTAACGGCGGCAGGTGGCTATAAGAATGAGTGGCGGCAACGCCCACGGGCGATTAACGCATGCAGGAGGGGCCATAAGAATGAGTGGGCGGCAATCGCCTTACGGCCATTAACGGCAGCAGGGGGCAATAAGAATGAGTGGCAGCAATTGCCTTAAGGGCAATTAACGGTGGCAGGGGGGGGCAACAAGAATGAGTGGTGGGAATCGCCTTTCGGGTGATTAACGGCGGCAGAGGTGCGATAAGAATGAGTGGCGGCAATCGCCTTACGGCCAATAAACGGTGGTAGGTGGGCGATAAGAGTGAGTGGCAGCAATCGCCTTACGGCCGATTAACGGCAGCAGGGGGGCGATATGAATGAGTGACGGCAATCTCCTTACGGGAGATTAATGGCGGCAGGAAGGCAATAAGAATGAGTCGCAGCAATTGCCTTACGGGCAATTAACGGCGGTAGAGGGGCGATAAGAATGAGTGGCGGCAATCGCCTTATGAGGGATTAACGGCGGCAGGAGGGCAATAAGAGTGAGTGGCAGCAATCGCCTTACGGGCGATTAACGGCGGCAGGAAGGCAATAAGAATGAGTGGCAGCAATTGCCTAACGGGCAATTAACGGCGGCAGGAGGGCGATAAGAATGAGTGGCGGCAATCGCCTAATGGGCGATTAACGGCGGCAGGGGGCGATAAGCAGTGATAAGAATGAGGGGCGATAAGGCGGCAGCATCGCATTAACGGCTTGGTGCAGCAATCGACCACAGACAGAGTTGGCAGAACGCTGACGGCTGGGAGGCAATAAGAATGAGTGGCAGCAATCGCCTTACGGGTGATTAACGGCGGTAGGGGGCGATAAGAATGAGTGGCAGCAATCGCCTTACGGGTGATTAACGACGGTAGGTAGGCGATAAGAATGAGTGGCAGCAATCGCCTTACGGGTGATTAACGGCGGCAGGGGGCGATAAGAATGAGTGGCAGCAAATGCTGCAGGGGTGTGGTGGCCGGGTGGGAGCAACACTCACTGTAAATTGGTACCTAATATAACAGCTAGGTAGTGACGGCGTGCGGTCTGGTGCTGCCTATGAGACCCCATACAAGATACACTGTAAACATATTACTTCAGATTAGAATACAATTTTACTCTTGAAGAATACACTTTACTCTTGAAGAATATACTTTGCTTGCATGTAGACTAGAGGAATTCTTCTAAAAAAACTTCCTGATGATGATTTACTTAATTTACTTCACTTCCTGCTGTGTGTCGCTCTGAGCCACCAAGAAGAACACGCCCTTGTGATCCGCTGGTTTGTCATGACTCGAGGTCTGACGCTCCAGGGTGAGGAATGAAGCTATTCTCAGTCCCAAGGCGGTGAGGGCGTCGCGGATGTCCCCCTCCTGCAGGCTTACTGAGGGGTACTGACACCTCCCTAAGGTGTAGGAGGTGTTGCCTAGGGCGCCCTGACGACAAGATGTAAAAGGTAGATTTAGGATGGTTTGAGTGGAGATAACACCCATCTATCTATCTATCCTGCACATACTCTTCTTCCAAAAAATATTATTGTGTGTGTGTGTGTGTGTGTGTAAAGACAACACGACTGCACCTCCGACTCTCACAGAAATTGAAAATAAAAATCATTTCATCTAAGGGACACTAAAAACTGCAATAATGAGAATAACAATAATGAAACCATACGACGACGACTACTACTACTACTACTACTACTACTACTACTACTACTACTACTACTACTAATAATAATAATAATAATAATAATAATAATAATAATAATAAGTCTTAATAAGCAACACGCCGCCAGGTTTCAGAAGTGTCACCACACGGCCGACTAACTCTTGGTAGTCCTCAGTCGACCACGAGGTGAATTCTACACATAAAGTTGTCATTATTACGTCATACCTGAAGGAAAAGGGTGTATAAAATATACATAACATACATAAGAATCAGTTAAACTTCATTGATGTAAAAATCTGCGTTCTAGAAACACAGATAATGCATTTTTACTATTTTCTACATGGCATTTGCTACTGTATTTCTCGACTGGTGTTCATTGTATTAATTTATGAAGTCCTGTATTGCCTTATTACAGCTGGGTGAGGTTTCATATCAACAACAAACTGCTTTTCTATAATGTATTTATTCATACTGAGTTGAAATAGAAATAACGAGCATCAGCTCCACGGAACATTAAGACTTACAGTACATGAACTAACTGTACTTGTGACTCACTTCTGACGGATGGGCGATAGAGGTTCCCGTTGGGTTAAGTCACAAGGCAGCACCAGCTGGAATACATCTCGCAGACGTTCAGCCACCTCCTCCCCGTTCCTGACGAAGGTAAGAGTTACATGCAGGAACAAGAATACGCTTTTAGGCTAAATCTCCTTAAAAACTGTTTTCGTGAACTCGGTCCAGTTAGGGTTCATTATTAATAACAGAATTAAACCGGACGGCCTTCCACCCCCCACCTCTTCCTCCCGTCCACCATCAGGCCAGTGTTGCCCTTCCTCACTCCCTATTGACGAAGCTAAACGTCTACATTAATGGAAGAAATCTGTTCAGTATAATGCAATAATTAGTCAATTCAAGTTTAAAGACAATCTCATGACAGCAAGAACGTACCCGGCATAATTGTGTATATTCTGGAAGAAGAGTTTTGTCCTGTTTCATGATCCCCCACAATTATCATAATTGCGGGGTAATAATTGGCCCTGGTTTGGGTGGGACAGTGACTCCACAACATACAGCACATTTATTAGGAGTTAGAAATTTTACACACTTTCTGTTTCATTGCTTACAAAAATCCCCATTTTCACTAAGACGTATACCAGAGTTTATTAGCCTTTCTAGCTGAGCATACAGTATATTGCCGTTTAATGCACAAACATTACGGATATAAGACTATGTTTATACCAGCTCACCCTATGACGTGATTCTTCGGTACCTTTTCAGCAGTAATGGATATTTTCAATTACATGTGATGATAGAGCGGTTAAATTAATTTTTAAAGCTTTTAATCATATTTCCAAACTTTAAAATCAGAAAATATTTGGGTAGAAGCCTAACACTTCCTCTTAAGTAAGTCTCCCTTCAAAATATAGATGATGTTTACACGTTTTCTATGATTTGAGTTATGTATTTGTTTTCTATGTACGGCCAAATAAATCAGAGGGAATAATCTGATTATTATTTTCCTACATATTATGCCACTGACATAATCTTCCACTCAAGCGATTTACAGATAATTTACCTTTTTAACCCTTATGGCAGCAATATACCAGTACACCGGACGTATGAACATTCTTCACACTTCATGTTTCCCTAAATGTGTTGCTCTCCGGTAACATGATCCAAGCAGTTACAGGTTGCACCACCAGCGCCGCCATGATAACCACGAGTTGCTATGCCAGACGTCACGTAAACTGAACTATCTCGCCACGTCAAGGTCATTTACTTAACCCACGGGAAACAGCGCCACGTATTCACATAAATCTAACGTTAATTCAGATTCCATAATGAGATTAATACCTTTCTTTCTGTCAACTTTAGAGAGAAAGGATAAAATGAGTAACAGACCGCCCATACACGCACCTGGGAGGCATCAAGGAGGCGAGGTAGGTAAAGAAAGGAGTCCAGTCTAGTGCCTCCTCTCCTCCCTCCATCCACGCCTGCAGCTCCTCCCTGTACACACACCAACACTGATTAAATTCCATATACGTTTACCTTATTTGACGTCTCTCTCTCTCTCTCTCTCTCTCTCTCTCTCTCTCTCTCTCTCTCTCTCTGTGTCTGGATTATACGAAAAAATTTTAAAATATATATCAACCCCTATGAAGGTCATGAATAAGATATCAAGTATCTCATCTGTTGTAGGAAAGTATCTCACCTGTTATGGAGAAGTAACTCACCTATTGAAGGGAAGTATCTCACCTGGTGTAGGGAAGTATCTCTCCTGGTGTAGGAAAGTATCTCACGTGTTGTCGGAAGTATCTCTCCTGCTGTAGGGAAGTATCTTACCTGGTGTAGGAAAGTATCTCACCTGTTCTTGGGAAGTATCTCACCTGTTGTAGGGAAGTATCTCACCTGTTCTTGGGTAGTATTTCACACATGGTGAGGGAGGCGGTGTAGTAAGCAGCAGCGGCAGCATACACAGGCACAGGACCACACCCAAACTCCAGCAGGCGACGCTGACGAGGACTTCGACCCGTCAGGAGTGACTCTGGGGAGAAATACAGAAATTTCAAGGCATTTTCCTTTTTTGTTAATATGAGACTGTGGAGCAACAACGGCCTATGCTCTCTCTCTCTCATTCCAAAACACTTGAGACTTACAACTCGTTTTAATTTTACGGATAAACTTATCTCCTCATCACACAACGAAACAATTATTTTCATCTTTGTTTCTCTATCATGGTGAACCAGGTCCTTTGCTCATCACATTGTTAGATAGATAGATAGATAGATAGATGGAACAAGTAGTCTCACCTGTATTGAACGCGTCGTGGTAACACTTGAGGAAGAACTTGACCTCCTCGTCCAGTGTGTGGTAATAAGTAGCGTGGTACTCCTTGGGATCAAACTCGCCCTCATACTGCCTCCTGATCTCCCTCACTCGGCTCGTAATGTCACCCTCACACTCCTCAGACATTTTTAATTTGTGGGTTTTTTTGTGATAAAGAGACAATTATCAACAAAACTGACCAGTGTGAGTGAATAAAGCCACCGTCTTCCTCGTTAGGTGTGGTAGGTGTGAATGAAGGAATCCATTTACCCTTTCCAGGCCAGAGCGATGGTCTTTCTTAAGTTCCACCTCCTGGCCACGCCCCCTTCTTTCGTAGGTCCTCCCCTCTGCCCGCTAGTCACGCCCTCTAACCTATAGTTTTCTATTTTATTAGGTCAAGTTTCCACAATAAATAATTTTTAAGCACTGAACAAAATATATTGATCTGTGAATGAATGCATTTTAGTTTTTAATCTGAAATTTTGTACTATTGAAGAACTTATTTTGAATTTCTACTATTTTGAAATCGACAAGAATTAAAAAAATATATTATTCGTATCATAATTTGACAGGATATCAAATATTGTTTTCTTTTTATTATTATTATTAGTAGTAGTAGTAGTACGTTCTTGAAATCGCTTGAACAGTTATTTATAATTTCAAAAAGCTTGCTTAGCTTTCCCTTCCCTCCCTGCCTCCCAAGAGCAGACAGGCGCGTGCCGGGTACTGTCACCGTCACCGCCCCAACCAATCGCCTCGACTGAGCTAGGTGGACAGTCCGCTTGCTATTATTCCCTATTACTTTACTTTCCTTTTCTGTTTTTTCCTTCTCTCTTTCCTCTCCTCTCTCCTGGCAAGGGCATTTGCCACTTTACTTCATTCTCGCCATAGTAGTAGTAGTAGTACGCGGGGACAACGAGCCTTCTTCGACATAAGGATTTTTTATCCCATACCCGCATGTCACCGCAACCTAGTTCTCGATGCTGCACACAGGAGAACGAGAACAAGATTAGGGCATATGGGGAGAGAATTCAGAATGTTGATCAGGGCAGCTTCACTCCTCTGGTGTTCACAACCTCTGGCGCGATGGGACCAAATGCAAGATGCTTCTACGCCAGACTCGTGGAGGTGTTATCTGAACGGAAGCAGCAGCCCAGAAGTTACGTCACAGCCTGGTTGAGATGTCGACTGTCCTTCTCTCTGCTTAGGTCAGCATTGCTTTGCCAGAAGGGAACGAGAGGATCGGCCCCAAAGCCGACAACAGTCGCAGATATCGACTTTGAGGCAACAATCACTGAATGTCGCATAGGTCTGCGGCTCAACTAACTCAACATAGCTAGGATAGCTATTTATATATTAGGATATTTCATTTTAAGATAATAAAATGGAGGCGAAGGTGTGGCTATTGGGGGAGGCTGGAGGCCACGTTTTAAAAAAAAGTAGTAGTAGTAGTAGTGCCACTTTTCACCTGTACTTTATCTCTCCCTCTTTTATCCCTCTTCTCCGTCTCTCCCACACACCATCACTCCTTTTCACGCTCCATCATTACTCCCTCACTCCTCCACCATCACTGCCCCACAAGGCCATAAATTCAGCCATATCAGTTTATTGTGCTACGTTAAGGAATATGGGAGGTGTTGAGTTGGGAAGACTCTCGTTATGTTTATCTTTCTATTTACACAACCATATATCTATTTGTATATCTATACTCTGTATCAGTCTGCCCAACCATCAATATATATATATATATATATATATATATATATATATATATATATATATATATATATATATATGTGTGTGTGTGTGTGTGTGTGTGTGTGTGTGTGTGTGTGTGTGTGTGTGTGTGTGTGTGTGTGTGTGTGTGTGTGTGTGTGTGTGTGTGAGCTTTTATCCCTTCTCATTACAGTCTCCACACAAGCCTTTATGGCCGGGACCTCAAGGTGACATTGAAATAGTGAGCAACAACTTTATCGGCAGAAGGATAGCGAACTTTCGTCTACCTAGTAAAAGAACGTTCATCAGCAAGAGAACGTTCTTCAAGCAGCCGAACGTTCGTCTGGCAGCCGAACGTTCGTCTAACTCTAGCAGAGGATCGTTTAGTTCGACAGAAAAACGTTCAATGTGCAAGAGAACGTTCGTCTGGCAGAAAAACTTCGGCCTGGCAGAGTAACGCTTGTGTGGTATATCTCCCACTACTCTATTTGTGGGGTGAAGGGTGCGAGGACTCATCTGAAATACCCCACCCCCTAAAAAATCATTTTCTCCGGAACATGAAAGTATTTCTCTGTATGTGAATTACAGCCTTGAATCGTACGCGTGGCAAGTAAGACGAACCATTCTTATGACGCTACACCATGTAGGTATACTCCATGCGCTAAATTTGAACTAAAAATATGCGCTACACAATCTGTCCAGTGTAAAACCGTCAGTTAATAGACAAGACCTAACTTAACATAACCAACAATAGTAATTTGATAAGGTTTGGCTTATCATTCTGTCACTTTATGTAACTTGCTGACAAAACCCATGACCCTTCAGGCTTTTACGCCCTTAATGCATGAGTCATAAAGGCAAGCATGAACTCCGCATGCTTACCCGATGGGCACTGTAAACGCTTCTGTGCTTCACCTTGCACAGGATGTAAGGGGGTGCCCAATAAACTAGCCCCCTCGTGGACAATCTAATCTAAAGGAAATAGTTTAAAGGAAGGCAGAAATGAGAAATTGGCAGAAATTTAAGATTATATGTAAAATAAAATAAAAACTGGTTTCTCTGATCAGTATTGACAAGAAATACATTTAATAAGCAATATATAAAACAATATTTCTCAAGAGTAGTGTAAGTTCATTTTGTTAAGTCTGATCCCATCAGTGAGGTCCTTACATAAAGTCCAAACTTACAGGCATGCTCTTCTGCCGCCCAATATGATACACCTGTCCTCTGAACATAACCTAACCTAAACTAACTTATTATATTATATTATGTCCTCGGTAAGTGATTGGTTCCTCAACTTCCTTTTAAGTTAGTTTCTATCTGTGTATGTTGTTTCTAATGTCAGAGTTATTACGCTCAGTGCAGAAAGTAGTCTTGGCAATTAAGAAAGATAATATTCATTTCTAGTTGATGTCTTACTACCACTTATTATAAGTTTAATATCTTCTCTAAATATTGTAAACCTTAAACTAAGGCCCCTCTGGGCGTACTCAGCTTTGGACTAGAAATGGAATGAGATACTGTTGCTTAGATCACGAGAAATAGGTCACAGATCCATATTGTTTATTTTGAACAAGTTCTTATCTTCACTGACTGATGACTAGTAGTTACCATCCTCTTACACGAAATAGCAAGGGCTATTGATCATTGTGCGATAAAGTTTTAGTGTCTAGAGAGAGAGAGAGAGAGAGACAGAGAGAGAGAGAGAGAGATCCATTTCCCAAGTTTTCGTCTTGATTTCCAGCAACAATGAGTGCTCAAGCGTGACCTAAAAGCTAAAGCTTTACCTTACACATTGCCTCACGTTACATCACATAGGATTACTCAAGGTTTAGGTTTGCTTTCCTTAATATGTATCAATATATATCAATATATATCAATATATATATATATATATATATATATATATATATATATATATATATATATATATATATATATATATAATTTACGGTTCCGAATAGGAAACAGAAAATAACAGAAAGAAGACATATAGTACAGTATATACCACAGCCCAGCAGCGGGTGGGGGCCAACAGCTGTTCCGTGGCTTTGTTTATATTGGGTGGCGGACATTTAAAACCAAGACACGCTGGCACCTGTGTCCCAGGGGAGGGGTGGCACCCGGGGTCGGGAAATTGGCACCTTGGAACATTGGCTAATTGTATACTGTACAGTATATTTATTTAATTTATTCATTTGTGTGTGTATTTGTGTGTGTGTGTGTGTTCTCTCTAGCACTGACATGAACGTATATTTCTCCAAGCGGCTAATGAGCCCATCAGTGGCAAAGAGAATAAAATTAAAAAGTCAATGTTCCCAGTGAACTTAACTGACAGCTCTCAGCTCATATCTATTTACTGACTATATATGTAGAGAGAATGCACGTGTCTGTGAACTACATGGGTATCCTTTTATTAGCGTCTTGCTTAATGTGGAGGACTGGAGGTTAAGCTTATTCTGCGTGATAATAATTCTAAATAATCACCGTCATACAGTAGGGTTTGTTATGTTATTACTGCACTTCAACAATAAAGACATTAAGCACGTAACAGTTAGCAATACACTAGTTTAACAACATTAACAAATATAAGACAGATCTCTTTGTGTATAGTACGGATAACCGTGTAGGCTTAAGCTACGAGACAAAAAAAATCAAATATTTCATCCAATGACAAAACTTACAGGAGCAATATAATATTTTGCATATTTATTATATTAAAAAAATAAATTAATTCAGAGATATATTCAGAAATTTTCTTATCAATTAATCATTTGCATTATTGTCTCAACTCGATGAAATGTCGAACAAAAGCGAACAAAATATAATAGTGATGCAACACAGCCATAAAGTAACGTCTTTGTCCTCAACTAAATGTCGAACAAATAAGTGAAGGTCCCGGACTCTTCCTGTTATCCTCGTGTATCTTATTTAATGATTCAATCGAAGTAAAATTTCCCTACAGGTTAATAATGAATTAGATTAATGTAATAGAATACCTGTACAGTGTCCCTAGCATCTTCCAGGCGTAGAAAACGGGCGTGAGCTACGTGACGCGGGCGGCCTCAATGAAAACGACACCTTCGATTTTTCTCATTCCTCCCAACCTATAATAAACTGTTCTAAAAATAAAAACAATCCCCTAATATACTCTTAATAATATCTAAACACATCATATCTAATTAAATTATCCTTAAATATATATTAAAATTTCCTCTTGATAATTTAATTTTGAATAATAAAAATAAAGAGATAAATTATTCTCGAATATCTATAACACTGGAACACTTACTCTAACTCGAGCGGTGGAGTGACGAGTTATATTATTCGTTAACTTGTTTCCCTCAAATAACATGGTGTAAACTGTTATTGGTGAGTCAGTGTTATAAATATGTAATACTGTGGAAAAGAACGTCCTATTGAGGTAACTGTGAGGAGAAAAGAGTAAAGAATAACCCCAGATTGATAGTCGTGTGGATTCTGTTGGCTGTGATATTCAAGGTAAAAACTGTTGATGTCGTTTTTATAGACCTGTTTTGATAATGACTAGTGTATTAATAGATTCTGTAGAGCCCTTAGAGAGTGAAGGAAACGGCCATCATAACCACACAGGCCTATAAGACGTTAAATAACATCCCCCCCCAGGAAAGAACATACGCCATTTTGTTTTTATACGGAAGAAGGGCATAACGATAGGGGGAAACTCTAGATAATTTACAAATAATCCCACTATAATCCTCCCTAGTGACTTAAACAACCTATTAGCTTGTTTAAGAGAGGATGTGGGATAATTTCTATGTGGTGTAACTCTGGAAATAAGGGAGGAAAAGGGTTAAAATAGTGGTAATATGTGGTGGAGTAATGCGGCTTGTCGTTGACGTATGGGGGGTAACGGCCTGTAAACAAACGCACGTGTGGTGTTTGAGGGTTCCTTACTTTACTCTACCTCTCACCTGTGGCCTCTTCATAGGTGGGCATAGGGAGACACAAGCTTACCTTACTCTACCTCTCACCTGTGCCCTCCTCATAGGTGGGCATTTAGTTGGTATTTTATCTTACCCTGTTTTAGTGTGTGTTTTAGGCCTAGTTTAAACCTCTTGGGATAGATTTTGGGTGTTGGCTATGTTGATTGCAAGATGGCCTATGAAGGGAAGGATTGAAGATAAACCCTCAGTATTCTTATGATTTTGGATTAATTTTTGTGTTTTTATCTTGGTCAGTGATGGACTGTGGTTTGGGCCTAGTTTAAGCATTTGTAAATGTGTTGATAGAAGGCTAACTGTACTAGTAAAATAAAAAATACTAATTAAGTTGGTCACTTAACCCATGAACCCGACAATAGCCACCATTTTAATTTTTTTTTAGAGGGATGTACTGAATAGGCCTACCCTCAAATAGAATCTATGGATTGGTTTCGTGTTGGCATTGTTATTTAGTTAGGCCTATGAAGGCAAGAATTTTAAGATAATTATAAAAGTACCGGTATTTTCATTTTGTGTTGTAGAGTAACATTTTATCTTACCTGTGTGTTAAGTGTGCTTAGGCCAAACCCATATTTAAGATTTTTAATTTATCAAAGTGTATTTGATCGGGTTGCCTGGTCAAATAACCATTGACTATTTGACTGGCACCCACGGAGATTGTGTATAATTTTAATGGAATTCTGGGCAGGATGGCTGTGGGCATTACATTAGTCACAACACTGTTATTTAAAGATTTTTTAGATTTAGATTGCCCCCAAGGGGGCTAGTTTATTGGGCACCCCCTTACATCCTGTGCAAGGTGAAGCGCAGAAGCGTTTACAGCACCCATCTGGGAAGCATGCGGAGTTCATGCTTGCCTTTATGACTCATGTATTAAGGGCATAAAAGCTTGAAGGGTCATAGGTTTTGTCAGCAAGTTACATAAAGTGACAGAAATATTATTTAAATGTTGAATGCTTAATCACTATCTTCATTAATCATCCTCTGATACTCGAGATATCCCACTTCTCTCATGGACATCTATATTGTAGGTCAGGTCAGGTCAGGTCAACATTTTTTGACATCTACCTGATAGCTGTCTAAACATTATCCGAGCAGGATAGGGCTCGTAGCAATGGATTTAAGTTGGATAAATTTAGGTTTAGGAAGGAGACAGGAAGAAATTGGTTCACAAATAGGGTGGTGGACGAGTGGAACAAGCTTCTCAACTTTGTAGTAAGTGTTGGGATTCTGGAAAGTTTAAAATGGAGGCTAGATAGATTCATGGACGATAGAGGGTGGTTGTAACTCCCGACAGGAGCTGCCGTGCACAGGCCGACCGGCCTATTACAGACTTCATATTTTCTCATGTTCTTATAACTTAAACATTGGGGTGTTGGTTTTCTTAATAAATTGATTAGAATTAAATCCAATTTTATCCTCCTTGTATACTTATTTCTGTATGTAACTACTGTACTATTTCTATTTGATTAAATTTTTTCTAACACAATATAGCTTTTCCTCGACACTTATAACCACCTGGACATACGACCGCCTCAGTTGTACCCAAATTATGTCAAATTACGTATTTTCGAGTCCCGACGTTAGTGATTGCGCTGTGTACTGACAAAATTTTCGTTTGTAATTCACTTTAAAATGGGTCCGACTAATTACCCAAATGTAGCCGCAATGAAGTCAAATAATGGTCCTACATGAATAAATCGGACTGCCAATCACTTGTCGACTAGTATTTGGTTTCACGAAGTCACAAAAAATTGGTAAAGTTAATTTAATCTGAATTAATAGATTGAGTGCATGTACCTAACCTCGACTAGTATTTGGTGTCACAAAGTCACAAAGAATTGGTAAAGTTAATTTAATCTGAGTTAATAGATCGAGTGCATGTACCTAACCTAACCTAACCTCGACTAGTATTTGGTGTCACGAAGTCACAAAAAATTGGTAAACTTAATTTAATCTGAGTTAATAGATCAAGTGCATGTACCTAATCTAACCTAACCTAACACAACTCAACTCAGATTAAATTAAGTTTACCAATTTTAAGTTTACCAATTTTTTGTGACTTTGACACAAAATAATAATCGAGAAGTGATTCACAGCCCGATTTACGCTTGTAGGACCATCATTTGACTTCATTGCGACTAAATTTGGGTAATTAGTCGGACCGCTTTAAAATGGCTGGCAAGCTTAAAAGTGAGACACCCATTTTAGATGTTCTATGTATTATTTCAGCATTTTCGACTTACGACCTGGATTTGGGTCCCTAACCCCGTCGTAAGTCGGGGAACAGCTGTAGTTTGAAATTATCATTAATGTAATATGGGTATGTAGAATATTCTGTGGCTAGAAGTAGTTAGCTTTATTTTAGAGTTCTGGTCAAATAACCAGTTATTTGACAGGATAACAGTCAAATAACCCCTGCCTTTTAATATTGATTTTTAAATTTGGCTCTTTCTATTTCTGAGGGTAGGCCTATTCAGATGGCTTTGGAAGTAGATACCTCTGTCTTCTCTCTTTTTTTTTTATGAAATTTGTGGCTCTTGTCGGGTTCATAGGTTTTATGTGGCTAACTCTGTGAGCATTGTTTAATTACAGTACGATATACGTAATTAGTAAATACTGTAGCTATGCCTAATATTTTTTTTTACTGAGTTTACATTTATAGCTCCCCTTTTTTCATCAATGTTTCTATTTAAAGTTTATTTATAGATTTTTATTGCCTTCCAATTAATGAAATACTACATTAGGCTGAGCTTTGGAAAAATTAAAATTTGGGTCAAACTGAAAAGAACAAAATACACAGTGATTGTACACAGGTAGTATTGATGGGCTTTCTTTATGATTTTAATTAAAACCTTTAATTTATGGACTCCAATTTAATGAAAGAGTGAGGGAAAGATTATATAATGTACTTTAAATTTATATGAGTAGCAGCAAGGAGGCCATGACCTTTGGTGCTAAAGTGAATTGACTCATCACAATATAATGGCTGATTTACTAAGCAGTTTATTCATGATAAAATCTTATTGATGGTTTTTGCCAGTTTACCAAAGCACCCAGGGCTGAGTGGTTACAGCCTATTTGACAATTCTTAAGCAAATTAAATTTAATTTATTCCTGCTTCTTTGCTGTATGTATTCTAATTATATGCATTATAAAACATTTTTGTGAAAAATCTAGAAAAATTGAGCCATTGTTTACCGTTTTCAAAACAATGATGCATTGTACAACAGAAAAAGTTGTTTAAAATATTGTTCCTTTGTGTCCCAACCTTACCTCACGTGACTGACATTACCAAACTTTTATTATTTTGTAACTTATATTAGTTAAGATTTGGAAAAGGTCAACCACAAAACTCTACCGGGTATATTGTTTTGTATAGGGAGATAGAGCAAAAAAAATAATAAGAATACTTTTCTCTGGCATTTTTGTCAGAAAATTATATACAGAAATTTTAATTTTCTGACTTCAATTTCAAAGTTAGTTCATCTGGGTTTTTTCTCCTTGTGAGGTTAGAGGTTTTATTTACATACAGGTTTCTGGTTAGTATTGGTTAGGATAGGTTAGACATGTAGCTATATACCGGTACTGTACTGATATTAGTCGTTATGTTAGGTCTTTGATGATTCTTTTGTTTGGCCAAAATTATTTTGTCTGCCATAATTTGGGATGTTCTTAATAAACTGAAGAACTTTTCTGCTGTTGAAGTTTCCTAACCCAGCTCTTTAACCTGCTCTTAAATATCACACTTTTATAGGGGTATTCGCTTTTCTCGGATTCACATTTTTTCGGACTGGGGTCTGCCCCAATTAGTATGATTTATCGAGGTTCTACTGTACTTTGATATCTAGTACCATTGAAAGTGGCTTTGTGTAATTTTAGGTTTATTGGTTGTTGCACTAAAATGCATATTTCTTCTTCACTGTTGGGTCTCTGATGCATTTTGAACACTTGCATGTTCTGGCAACTGGTCCATATTGACAGATTAACTCTTGGAGAGGGTCATTATCCTCCATAAGCACAGATAACTTGTGATATGATAAAAAGCATCCTGCACAGGATGCCATAACTATGTAGTAAAATTGAAGATGGCTTTCTTGTCTCCCCTTGTGGAATAACAATAATTATAGGATCATACAATTCATTTAGAAACCAATTGCTGTATTGTATACATGTATTCCAAAGAATTTGGAAATGTATCCAAACCTATATTATAAGATTCGAATCCAGCTACACTGTACAAGCCAATATTTATGGTAATAAAACCCCTACTTTGAGGCTCCGTCATTTATTTTAAAGTTAACAAGGACCTGATTCAAAATTTATTGGTTTAACAGCTAATGTAAACATGCGGCTCTATGGGAGAATTATCGGCTGAATATTTATGGGAAATAACTTTTTCTCTGTATACAAAGCATGTAGAGTCATGAAATAACTGTCATATGATTTTTTTTTTGGGCTATGGTTTACCCCATAATTTCCTGCATCTTTCATGCCCTGCCCACTACAGGTGATTTATGATCATAGGGAAAAACGAAAAATATTTTTAAAAAGTGCTTAAAATTAAAGAAAAAGGTTGTACGTATTGTTTTTATTAGTTAGAATCATTCGAACAACAACTGTGGTTAATATGAATGAATTGTGGTATGGAAATGCCTTGTGGTGCTAACTGTATCCTCCACAATTAAGTTTTTGTTAATAAGACAAAAACCATTAATGCTGTATTTGAATGATTTGTGCTGTATGGAATGAACCTCTGAACTTAACTACGATCAGTTATGTAGTGCATCATAATTTATGTACAGAACACTACATGTATATACCCTGTATAGCATGACTTTTTTTACAACAAAAAAAATGCACCCCCATATTGAAAATCACTCACAATTCATAATGTATTGCTGTTAAGAAATATAAACAGATTACAAATTTTGTATAGTATTTGGTAAAAGTAAAAATATGAGGCATTTTAATATATATACCTACACTATGTGTTTTACTCTTTTTGTAAATAGATTATTTTGCAAAATTACCGGCATGCA